GTGATTTGAAATAGCTCAATATGTTTTTTGGTGGAGAAATAGGGATTTTGAGTGATTTTTGAGATTTTAAGGTTACAGGGGCATATTCGTAATTTTTAAGAAAAGTGGGGGTAGGAAGCCAACATGGAAGGTCTAAATGGAATTGGAATTGATGGCCATGCAAATCATGTAAAATTTTCCCCTAAAGTCATAATGCCCATGGAAAAGTTCATTTTGGATTCTCCACACATTGGTCCTAGTGATCCTAGCCAAAGACTAGGGGCATAGGGCCACCCAAGTCTCCAAAAAGAACTAAGTGGTGGGTTAGGTATAGGAGGTTTTAAGGTTTAAGTGTGTGTAATGTTATGACCAAGACCGAGTCAGCCAGGGTTGCTCTAAGGTCTCACTTATTCTATTGGAACTGACTCTTGGTTTTCACATGTTGGCGTTAACCATCCCAAGTGAGGAATGAGGGCTTACGACCACCCACGTGAGACTTCACAAGGAGAGTCAAGAAGTGTTTATAATTTCTATGTGGGAGAGTTTCATCACTAGTCCTCTAAGATGACCAAAAAGAAAGCCCTATGGCTATACCCCAGGCTTCTGAAGAGAAGAAACTAGACCTTATAAAAAATGAGGTCAACATCAGGCAATCAAATAGAAGTAATATGATTAGTATGGGATGGGGTAGTAGCATTATCACATTCACCTTTCTCTTTATCTGACAAAGAAACAACTTCATTAACCTTACTATTTGATGCAAGAAAGTTAAGAGGAGCAAAATGAATTAAGTTATTTATTCTTCAAGTCCAAAACAGGGACAAAGCCATTCTCTAAAAGTGAAGCAACCTAAATCTGATCACGGTCATCCAAGGGAAGACCTGGTTGTTTCAGATTTGAGTGAAGAGAGAATCATTCATCAATCAAATTACCACGCATTTTGTAATGTAAAAAAAATAGATGAACATTATCATACACAACTTTTTGCATATAACCATGCTTCTCAGAACCTTTACAAATTTCCTCAATTAGAGTTTTAGAAATATCAACTTCAATAAGAATGTTCTAAATCGAGGGATGGATCAAAGAAGCAGTTGCATAGTCAGTGTGGAGGGGGTGGCCAATTAGAGAAGTTGTAGCATGAAGAACATGACGATTAACTAAATGAAGATGAAGTTTTAGGAAGGATACCCAAACATAAACTATATGAGATTCTTCCTTAATATTAAAATATGGTGTCCATTTAAATAAACATATTTGACAATTAGAGATGTAATACACATGATGAGCGAAAATCCAACTATAATATATATCATTATCCAACTTAATCAAATGTGTCTTTGATCATGTAAGCCCACAAAAACTTTCCAACAAGGTTTAAAGAATAAAAAAATATCTTCTAAATGATAGAGATGGAGGGATAACGAAAGGAAAAATTACTAATTAATGTAAAAGCAAAAGGAACCGCAAGAAAACAATGGATGCATCTTTTAGAGAAGTGTGGGCTTACCATAAAGGGTTAAGGATCTTATCAATATTGGTTGAAAGTTAAAGGATTTACCTAACAAAGCATTTTTAAAGGAGTGCATAGGCTTTGATGGAGGTGAGAAAGGCCTACCAAAATGAGATGCATCACCTCTTACCATTAAAGAGTAGGTGATTCGGCCCATGAAATCGAGAGAACACCACAATGTGGAAGATGTGGAAAAAATAAAACCAAAACGGGAAGGCATGAAGGTCACCCAGAAATCACCCTAGGATTCCTAGAGCAAAAAAAAGCAAACCGAGTTCTCTTACCTTAGAATTCCTTGCTTGGATGAAGACAAGAGCTCATAGTTTGATGGAAAATGGAAGATTTTTTTTTCTTATAAAGGGGAGAGGTTTTTGAGTTTTTTTTTTTTTTTTAGAGTAAGAGATAAGGGAAAATTTGAAAAATGGAAACATAGAATTTCTTGGGCGTTGAGAGGGTCATGGATAAAAGTGGAGGAGTGGGGTTATGTGAGAGATTTTGGGAAGAAAGGTGGTTAAAGGTGACGTGGACGGATAAGATTTAGGAGGGGGTTATAGGGAGTGAATGGAGGGTGGAGATTATATGAGGCGGAGGAGAGAGAAGGGAGGTGAGGGGGTGTAGATGAGCTACACCACTTGGGTTGGAGGGTGGTGGATCAAGGAGAGAGGTGGCTAGGATGAGGGTGCTTGCAAGAGGAATGAAAGGCTAAGATTAATGAACATGAAAGGAATTTTTAAAAATAAGAAGGGCATTAAGGTAATTTAGCCAATTTAATTAAAGAATTTATGAAAAAATACTAGTATAGATCATTTTGAAGAGAAAGGCAAAGAATCTAATAATATAAACCATTTCAAAAAAGAAGATTTTTAGCTTAAGTTATAAGCATTTGAAGTGGTTAGGTGGTTGGAAGAGAGTTGGGAGCTGGTTCTGGTAAAAAAAAATTACTTAAGCTCATTTGATAGAGAAAAATATAAGGAATTAAATGCTTCAAGTGGTTTTAGCTAAATCGAGCTCCATGTGAAGATATGGTTGGAAAAAGTGGGCGCGAAGATATGGTTGGACAAAGTGGGCGCAAACCCCTAGGAGAGAGAAATTGGTGGATTTTAAGTTAAAAATTTTAATTGCTTTTATTGTTCCAAATTATGTATTTTTGAACTTAAAATAACTTTAATTGAAGTCTCAAATTTATTTGAAGTTATTGAGGTGGCTATGGTCAAATTATTATTTTATTATTAAAATTATTCTTTTTCCTCTACTAATTATCATCAAATCAACGAGCCTCGGAATAAAGTTGAATTTAGGTGCAGAGGGACTCATTTGAAAGGTTTCAATGATACTGATGCAACGAAAAAGTTCATTTTTAAGAATAATGATTCATTGAAAAAAATTTATGTGAGGCCACTTTTTACATGGAAATCTTAAGTGCACAATTTTATGTAAAAACAGTGTCTGATGCCACTAAACTTTTTTGAATGATTCTTTGTGTGATTATGAAGATCATGTAGTTTACATAATATAATTTTGATCACTAAATTGACTTGTGGAGAAAAAGATAATTTTAAGGTTTGTATTGATAATCTTCATGCATCAAAAATTTAAATTGAGGAGCTTTACATAAAAATTATTTTAATCAATCATCAAACTTATTTGCAAGATATTTATAAGTGTAATAAGCCTCATGCAACTTTCAAAATAAAGACTTGAGTCCTACATTGATCTTGAGATGCAAAATGTTAATCTCAATGTCTAAGTGATTAAGGTTGTTTTTAGGGTTATCTTTGAGTTTGGCTAAAATTTGTTGTGTTTAAATATTATTTCTACTCAATTTTGATTTTTTTTAAAATTAAAATTTTGTTTATCTTAAATTAGGGGTTCCTCAAGACCAAGCTCATGTTAAATTCAGCTGAGTTTAAGCCAGAAAAATAAAGTTGAAGAAAGATAGGGTGTCATATTTTCATTTAATTATAATGGATTAAGATCATTTCCAAGTGCTTTTAAATCTACCTCTAAATTTCTTAACATAATTCGAATCTAAATGTCTACTCTTCTAACCTGATTATCATATGGTCGACATTTAATGTGAACAAATCATCTAAGGCGACTCTCTTTAATCTCATCTGCCACTATTACTGAAACAACCCTTCCATAGATACATGCAGTTTCCAATTTTCCTCTTAAGTTTCAAGCAATACATCGACCTAAGCATTCTCATCTCAGCAATACTTAACTCAGTCATATGCTTCTCTTTTACAGGCCAACATTCTGCACCATAAAAGCAATATAGGTCTCACCACCATCTTATAAAATTTTTCTTTAAGTCTAAGCTGTGCTTCTCCATCTCACAATAGGCCTGTTGCATTCCTCTTCATGCACATCTCAAATCTTGAATTATTGAATTTTACTCATAAAGATAATTTTATTTTTGTCTTTTAGATAACTACATCTAATTCTATGACAATATTTTATTATATTTTTTTAGTTTCTAGCCTCTCATTTTAAAATCTAGAACTAATAGTCAATATTCAGTACTTAAATTTTTACGTAGAATGACCTTACAATCTTTATAATCTAGACGATTTTATTTTCTCATAAGAAAATAATCAATTTGTATTTTGTTAGATACATTCTTAAAAGTAATAATATGCTCATCCCTTTCTTGAATAAAGCATTAGCAATAATAAAATCATAAGCTAAATCAAAATATAATATGGTTCTACCAACTTTATTAATAACTCTAAAACTGTAGCCACCATGAATATTTCCAAAGTCTTCTACCCCTTTACCAACATGTCCAAATCTCTTCCAACAAAAATTATTTCTTCAAGGGTATCATTTGTATTAATCTTCTAGGCCATTCCAAAATTTTTATTTTGAACTTGTGTCCGAACCCACTTGAGAAACATAAATACTGATAACATTAGAAATCTTAGTATTAACAATTTTCCGTCTAAAATTATATCTCTAATTCTACTAATTTTTACAATATTATCTTTTAAACTCTTATTTATAATTACATCTAAACTATTTCTAGTGTTACTTCTAACTGAATACTAAAGTTTAGAACCTAAGCTATCAATCTTCTTAGCCTCCAACCCATTTAGTTTGTTAAATGCATAATACATTTATCATACTGTGAACCATAGTATCTACTAATTCTATTAATTTACATATGATAGTGCTTATATTCCAAGATCATATCCTGATATTAGTTTTATGAACAAATTTATTTGTCTGCATCCATCCATTTATAGTGTGAGAACTCTTGCTTATTTAACACTATACGAAAAATTTGGTGTAGTGGCGCTTGCAAACTTTTTAGTATCTTCATGTAATATAGTGGGTCGCTTCCAGAGAATGCTCTAACTTTTATACAATAATCTAAATGATTCATGTCATAATTTTATGATTAAAATACTTTATTAGTTGTAGAGTGCCTAACAAACCATTGAGTTTCGTGACTATTTCTAAAATCTTATCCCACAACAATTTTTCTAAAAAAATAAATAAGAAAGAAAATAAACACCCGCTACATACATTCATATTCCTTCTGAAGAACGTGTTCATTTTCCTGGAAGCACATTTCGAGGGATTAGTGCTTCGACGTCTATCCTTCGGATCGAAGCTTGAGAAGTTGCCGCGATTTCTCTTGAATTCTCCCTACAGAATTTCTTGGCTCTAACGAGAAATAACGAACATGTCTGGCCTTAATTCGCTGTTCAATCGAGCTACTTTTGGAACGAGATGGTTCGTTTCTTAACACGATTTTTTAGGGTTTACCGTTTTACCTTTGTTTGCAGCAATCCCTTAACTGCCATAAAACGTATTTTATGAAGCAATTTCACCGGTTAACAACGGTATTACGTCTGGATTTTCCCTTTTTCCGTAATTTCTTTGATATTAAGAATAACGAGCATAAATATGATCAGTGTCCTATGGAGTAGAACATTGAACTGTTAGAACATTGAACTTTCTTTTTGTGCTCTGACCGTGGATATACTCTGAGAAAAATTAATCGATAATTTGGGCGATGCCAATATTGGTTCTTGATGAAAGAGTTGCCATTAATAAGAAACATTACAATTATAGTAAGATATGAATTTCTTATCATTACAACTTAATGACATCGTGTAATTGTATCTAATTAAGGTGGTGTCTCGCTGTAACTTACATTAAATAGGATTTATGAAATCTGATAAGTTTTGATTTATCAAATCTACGCTGTGAAATCCATCTTGCAATCGAATTTAATAAATCAGATCTGTCTTAAAAGTGACATAATGCAAGATAAATGGATCTAACAGAGCGTTGAGTTTAATTTTTATTTTTTTGGTGTTTGGTTGGATTTAAGTTAAATTTACTATTATTTTTGTGTGAGTTGTATAGGGTTTAGGTTGGGTTCCTTTTCCTATGTGTTTGTAATTTTTTTATTTTATTACTAAATTGGAGCCTTTTATTGCTCTTTATTAAAAAAAGCTTAAATTTACTATAAATAGTATGCTACAAAACACCGCCTAAATTTTAGCTTTTAATTCATTGAATCACTTCCTAAAAGGCATGTAGTTCATCCAAAATACTAAAATGATGTTGTCTCAATGAGCAAATGCTAGTAATCCTTATTTTCCAAAAAATAACATCTTGTTGACTTTACAGCTATTAAGTCAGCAAGTTCCCACATGTAAGTACTTTAAACTATCTGAACTAGCTACATATATTGGAATTCTAGTATATTTTGGGCTGCTAAATGGTGAAGCTTGTAAACCATCTCCTTGAAAAGTTAAAATTGAAGAGCTATATTTGACTGATATGGCATTTTGAACAATCTAAGCATGCATTGGCTTAAGATTGATGGTTGTAGGTTTGTATTAATGTAACTTAACATTTGTATCAGCTACCTTGAAAAATTCTTTCCTAATGTTTGCTATAATCATAAGTTATTTTTTTAGTGTCTGTTTGGGGCAGCTGCAGCTTATTGAATAATCTAATGATCAACAACTTATCCGAATAAGCTAGCTGGTTGTTTGGAGCAGCTATTTCAAAACAGCTGATTTACAGCTGTTTGTGGATGAATGATTATTTTGCCCCTGTAAGTATGTCATAATTATACTTTTTTTTCTTTTAGGGCTCATTTGGTTGATTGCAGCAGGAAAAGATGTATTGGAAAACAATTATTTTTCACTCTTTTTAATTATAAAATAAATAATGACTTATGATTGACTTTGAATTTGCTTTACGTCGAAAAAACTTCTATGAATTATAAATACATCAAACCAAATGATGAAATCTAGAAACCTTACATTTTTCAAAACATTATTTATCTGTCTCAAGCACTGCAATAAACCCTTCCTATATCCTAAATTTCCATTGATCACAAATCCTCAAGCACTAGAATGAACCCTTGCTATATCCTAAATTTTCATTGCTTAACGACAAAACCATTCACAATAAAGATGATTAGAGAGTCAACGCGAACAACGAAAACCCTAATTAAGAAGCTGGAGGCACACTACCTTGCGATCAACCGCAAAGATTGGACATTGGTGGCCAATCAAATCTTGTCAACCCGTTCTTGACTGCAATTATAAGAAGTAGCAGAGATCTGCAATATGATAAATGTAAGACAAGCAAAAAACAATAAGGTATAGAATGTTTTTTATTTTTGGATTCTCACCTCGTGGTATTGGCTTGCCTTACTCATCAGAATGATCTTGCCTGGCTTATAAGCGAGAGAAGTGGTGTCTATAAGCGTGAGGAAGGAGAAGAGTAGAAGGGATTTAACTTGATCGCAAAAATGTCTCCTCAAGGCGACTATCGCTCGTGGAATGGTAGAGACTGGAGAGACAGTCAGCATGAAGGATTATGCTGTAAATCAGTGAGGCGAGGCGAGGTGGGATCGACATTCAGTGTTCTATGCAGCAACACTTGTCTCTCGTCTAAGGATTTTGTCGTGTGAGCTCATCGATGGCAGCTCTTGCAAGTTGTGATGCAAGGCGAGGCGAGGCGGGGCAGGGCGAGAAGGGAGAGATGAGTAGCACGATAGGGCAGATGGTGTCGAGGGCAGCGGAGTAAAAACTGTGTGAGCGAGCGCGGGCCGCGTGGTCGATCCCGTGGCAGCTTTTATTCGTTAAAACAAAATGACGTATATTAAATCGCGGGATGAACACGTGAAACAAACATTTGGGCGGAGTTTCAAAACGACGCCCGCACAGATAAGTCGCCCCAAACAAGCCCTAAGTTTTATTTGTTTCTTAATGAGCTTTAGAGTATGTTTGTTTTGGCTGTAGTTATAAGAAATCTCATTTCAAACACTGCTGTAAAAAATCTATTGTTCAAAAGCTGGTGTTTCAAAAACAATAGATCTGTTTAAAAAATACAGTTTTGAAAGTGTTATCTGGGAACAAATATCAGAAATACCCCTTTGTTGATATTATATAGAATCATAAGTATTTTCAATTAATGTAATTCTTATATTTAACTGTATTATCTAAACAAGCGGAACAAAAGTAAAGTCAAAGTTAAATTATAAAATAAAGAGAATGCTAGATTTTAGAAATTGTATTTTTTTAAAAGTAATTTTCTTAAGTAAAATTGAAAAAGGGATAATTATCGAAATAAATAAATATTCATAATAAGGCCAATGATTGTGAGTTAAGTACTATTGACTCACAACACCTTTATCGTGACATGTATGACAACCCATAGTTGCACATTGAAGTAAGGAGAACGTAAATAGAATTTTTTACAGAAAAAATAGTCACACAAACATGACATAAATATAATATCTTCAACATAAGTTGCATCACAATCAGACCTACGAGTTCTGTTGCTAATAAATCCTACATTAATACAGTTTGTCTTCCAAATTATATTAACACCTTTGAAACAAAAACAACTCTAACAATAAAAACAACACTAATAACAATAATATAAATACTATGATCATAAAATCAACTAAAAGCAAGATCTTTATAAAGAATTTCAAGTCTTGAAGATTCTTCATAATCGTATTCTCAGATGCATTCTCTTATTCATTAGGTCGTTCCAATGCTGCATCGCACAGTTCCTCCATCCACTCAAAAATTTATGAATTTCATTCGATCAATTTCTGGGTCATCTATAGAATTTTATTTCATCATTAACACCTTTTGAGTTGTGAAAACAACGCATAATGGATTGCAATCACAATATATTTGTCGATACTACGTCCCCTTAGAACTTGTTGAATAGCTTCAGCTCATATCCGATAATATAGTTCTGTAAATTAATGGTTATAAGATAAATAATGAGAGAAAAAGATAAATAGGTAAAAAAATTAGTTTTGAGCCAACGCAAATAATAAAAATTAAAAGAAATATAAAATTGCAAATGAATCTCACCAAATAACTTATCCAATCAATCGCCCAATAAATTAGATATAACTCTCGCTACGGGAAGGAATTGATGGGATCTAGAGGACTCGGGCTCTAAGGCAGAAGACTCTGGAGCAACCACAAAAGAAATGATGCAAAACTCAACAGACTCAAAATAGTATTCACGTTCGCATTATTATTAAACCACGGAACTGTGTTTACACACGGAAGCAGCGAAAAGCACAATCCAAACAGTCCCTAAACGCTATTTTGAATCAATAGTGGTTCAAAATTCTGAAACAAATGCACCTTGAACCTAGGTACTTGCTTCATTTTGCAAGGAAAAGAAAGACACAAGCAAAGGGTGAATTTAGTGTGATACTGATTTTTCCCACTTAGGAATCCCTTAACAAAGTTTAACCAATTTAATTCCACTCATAAAAGCTAATGGAAACTAAATGGATATAACAATTAAAATAATCTAAATATTTAGAAGCTAAATTATTTGACAAGCAAACTAAAGCTAAACATCACATTAGGCTAACTTTAAGTGTAGAATAATTTTCTAAGCTTGTGAAAGATATGTGACTTTGAAGCATAATGTTAATGTTTAACTTAATTCAACTTTGTAGACCAATTAATACTAAATATCAAATTTATCTAAATATACATACATGTACGTATCTATGTATAGATGTATATATACATACATGTATGTATATATAGAGTGAATATATCTATGGATGGATGGATGGATGCATGCTTTTAGCATTTACCACAATGGATGGATGGATGGATGCTTTTAGCATTTACCACTATGTATATATAGAGTGAATATATCCATCTATCTATCAATTTAAATGTGCTAATAAGGAGTCTATGTAACTTTGAAGCATAATGTTAATGTTTAACTTAATTCAACTTTGTAAGCCAATTAATACTAAATATCAAAGTTATCTAAATATACATACGTGTATGTATCTATATATAGATATATATACATGCATGTATGTATATATAGAGTGAATCTATCTATCTATATAGATAGATAAATAGATGGATGGATGGATGGATGGATGGATGGATGGATGGATGGATGGATGGATGGATGGATGGATGGATGGATGGATGGATGGATGGATGGATGGATGTAAAATTTTCTTTTTCAATGGATTGTAAAATATGTGAGAAAAAATTAACACAATCTTATAGATATCCTTGGTGTTTGAGGGAAATAAATTATCAAAGCTTTTAGCCACAGACATTTGAAAAGATGCACACTACAAGTCCAATTAGACTTTTCTTCAAAATGAACTCTTTGCGATAGCTGTCAAACTTGTAAAAAATCAACCCTTAAAATTACTCTAAAAACATTTTGTTTGGAGAGTTTATAGAGAAATCGAGAGTTCAACTTTTCCGAAAAATTTCATTAGGAATTAATGATTGAAGCTGGATGGGATTTTATTGAATAAATCACTTAAATATTTATTACTAAATTTTTTTTGAAACATCTTCCAAAATTTTGGTTTCTTATTTAAGAAAAAAATTAGACTGTTATTATATATCTGTTACAAAATATCCCGAAGTTGGCACAGTTGTTGCCTACATTTTGATGCAATGCAGCGAATGACAAAAATGTAAATAATGGGAAACCTATAAGAGGTGTGTGTTGACAAGAGAAGGAAGTGATGGAATGGTAAATTGTGAATGTAAGAAACTTCAGAATGACATTGGAACTCTTGAATTGGCTATAATTAAAAGAAATTTGTAATTTATATTTAGCAAATCATTAGATGACACCATATACATATTTTGTTATCATCAAATCACAGATGTGCCATATGAGTCAGACGGGCTCATGTGGTGAACACAAGCATATTAATACTTGAATAACATATAAGCATCACATCTCTGTGAAATGCCATCTGTTAATTTAAATGATATAATTCAAATACAGTTTCATGCTCTTTGTTAACATTCTGTGTTTCTGACTTGTACTGGACTATAATAAAATACTAAATAAATGAATGCTCTAATATAATTATACTTATATTATATTGGCTGTATTCCTTTTGATGATTTAAGGTTTTATATTGTCCTCAAAGATTGTGTACCAACTTATTTGTATTCATTTGGATCTTATTGATTATTTGCAAAGAATCCTTGATCTTTTGGAATGCAGAGAAAGTCTGCTAAGACTTAATATAAAATCCTTCAGCAACTCACTTGCCTTTCAACTTAGGCTTCTCAACACCAGGTCTCGTAGTTTCACATTGGAGTTACAGCTTACCTATCAGTTACTCTCTTTAGAATGGCGTATTGCTGGAAGATATCTTGATGAGATCTCTATATTCGTATTTCCAATTTTAGTTAATTGATGGATATTTATGCTTTTTAGTGTACTTGGATGCTTAAAATTTAAATTTTTATTTGACAACTATTTGAAAACCCATACTTTATTTAAACATCCCTTTGATGTTGAATCATTAACATGGACCATAGGTATTTTTTGCAAGGGCTCATAATTAACTTTAACTACCTGAATCAACTTTTATTATTTGCATGTTTTGAAGTTGAGTGAAGAAGCAGGAATCAGTCAAATCACACATGCACATGTGCAAATCGTTGAATTATGACCTTTTGGAAGGAGCAGAAGCCCTCGGTGAATTAGAAGTGAGATGGCAGTAAAGTTTAAAACCCAGACATAAATATTTTCAATCGGACATACCATATATTTTCTGGTTGGAATTGTTTTTCTTATTTAATGAGGATCTGAATCACAGACCATTCCTTTGGAGGCAATGTGTTATTTCACTGGGTTACATGCACACTCCAAACGAGACCACACCTGTTTTTAATTTCTTCCCATTTTAATTCTGTTGTGGATTTTCTTGTCTATTTTAACGTGTATTATGTATTACTAGCAACAAGGGTGATATTTTTTCCATCTTGAAATTCTACGTACTTTTTTCATTGTTAGAAGGGGTTATTTTCTTTTGTATACAGAATGACATTTTCTAAGTGTTCATTGCAAAAGAAAAATCATTGTCTAAAGCGAGTGATTATACTCACGAGTGTTCCTTTTTTTGGCTGTTTTCTCAGCAAGACATGCTTGAATTTGGCGGTTTCTCGAATCAAGCTGCTTCACAATAGGAGAGAGCTTCAACTAAAAAATATGCGTAAAGAGATTGCCCAGTTTCTTCAGACCGGCCAAGAAGCCATTGCCCGGATCAAGGTATGCACTAAAAATTTTCAATCCTTCAAAAATTTGTTCTTTTTTATTAAATTTGGCATTTGTATTTTAATTATTTATGCAATGTTAGGTGGAGCATGTCATTCGTGAACAGAACATATCGGCTGCTTATGAGATTCTAGAGCTGTTCTGTGAATTTCTTATTGCACGTATCCCTGTTCTTGAAGCCCAAAGGTGAAGATCTATGTTTATAGCAATACAATCTTGTATCTTGTGAATTGAGGCTGTCTCAAGTCCTCAGAAGAGAATTATGCTTTGATTCATGCTGGAGAAATTGACTTGTAGTAGGTCTTAATTTCCCGTCACAAATTGGAAAAGTATAAGCCTTCTTTATATGTTATGTAGATGCTGGCGATGATAAGTGAAGAAAAAATGTTTAAAAGAAAGTGAAATGTTAGAACAATGGAGGAAAATGTTGTTAGGATAGAGGATTAGAATTAGTAAACCAAAGACCAAATATATCATGTACAATTTTGGTGGATGGGACATTAACAATTATTACAATTATTAATCAATAACATCAAGGAGTTGTTTGTTTTGTTGAAAAAGAAAATATAATATTAAGAAACTCATAGTGAAATTATACGCAGGAGCTTGCATTTGTTATGTTTTGTTTAAAGAAAATCAAAATAACGTAAAACACAATTGGTAGCAACTGATTGGATGGTGGCGGTGGATTTGTTGTGGTAGGCTTTGGTGGAAGGTTCCTTGCAACTTACTGTTGCATTCCATTTTCCTCAAACCAAACGCCAAAATTTTTAAAATCCCTGCATTTGGAATGGAGTACTCTTTATTTATTTGCAACTAAACAACTTCTAAAAGATAAATTAGTATTTTGGTCATGGTAGGTTTCAAGTATATTGAGGTATATCAGCATAATGATGTAGATAAATATATAACTGTTAGAGTTGAGATTGGATGATTAAAATGGAACACAGTGCTCTGAAAGTATTTTGCGATAGGAGAACAACATGGAACCTTCAAAGTAAATTTATAAAGCTGCAATTAAAACTATAATTTTATTTGGATCTAAGCATTGGAAATTGATAAAGTCAATGGTATATTAAGTTGTACTTGGTTGGATGAGAATGTTAAGCTGGATGCTTGACAAAAATAGGAAAGATTAGTTGAGAAATATTGCATTGGGGGAATGGTTGTAGTGACATCTATTAGAGATAAGGCAGTTGAAACTAGGCCCAGGTAGATTGGGCATGTATAAAGAATTGTAGAAAATACGCTTATTAAGAAAGTAGATAAAACTAGTGTTGGGGGACCAGGAACAATGAGGGGTGAAACCAAGATAGATAGAAGTTCAAAATTTATGAGGAATAGATTCAAGTTTACACCTTATTGGGCATTACTCAATAAGAATGAAAAAAACATGGATTCCTAAAGCCAACCTAAAAAGTTACATTTGGCAAAAGAAAAAGGTGACACGAAAGTTCTTCTATTTATATTTAAAATTTTTTAAAAAGCTTCCATCTATAACAATCATGGGTAAATGTCTTTTTTTAGCATCAATTCAATAATCCCTGGACAACAACATTCATCTATTGCAATCTAGTAGCAGACCTTCAGGGCCTGCTTGAGCCCTAGACTTAGACTACAGGGAATTTGTGCTTCTTCAACTTAATAGGTGTGTTCTTGTAGACTTGGGAGTCTCCTTTCTTATATCACAAGGTATTAGAACTTGTATATTTAGGAATAATTTAGCTTGATTGCATAATTACTTTTTTGAGTGTATATGATCTCTTGGATTTAACCTTAATGTGTCAATCTATTGAGAAACTCATCTAGATCTAGACCTCTTGAACTTGTCAAATTGGATGAGTTTAAGAACTAAACAACTCCAGTCATCAGACTAACAAAATAGGGGCTCTTCTACTACTATCGTTTTTATGGCTTTTTTTTTTTATTTTGTTGAGTCTTACCTTCTTGACTCTCTTGAGTCTTAGACTTTAGTTATGACAGAACTTGCATCTTTCCAACTTGACTCATTAAAGCTTACAAATCTCAAAGTTTTTTTAGTTGAACCTTTAAGATCTTGGTTAACTAGAGGGAAAAGTCGTTACCTTTTAAATTTTATCACATATATTTTTCTTGATAGCAAAATTCTTTGAGTAAATATGTGGGTATTTCAGCATTTACTGTAATGGTAACCCAAAAGGAATGAGATCTGGATGTAAGATATGATATCAACCCTTTGTTGAGGATCTCAGCCATAAATTTGTTATCAATCTCAAAAAGGGGGGCACATTACCTGATTAAACACAATTGGAATCTCGACATCGAGCACGATATCAACACAAGTGAACTAAAAAAATGCCCCACCTTAGGGGGGAATTTTATGATTAGTTAAAAAACCATTCTTTTATTTCAAGAGAGTTTCTAGAAATATCTTCTAAAATCTCCTTAGACTTATGCTTTCTCTAAGCAACTTCATGGACTTTTTGTTGGGCTTGCATAATGACTTGTAGAGGAGAATGAGGAGTAAATAAAATAGACTCCTATTAGCTTGCATTTGATGACATCTCTTTCAACAGGGATTGTCGATCTATTGTAATGGAAAGTGAGGAGCAATAGAAAAACTCCTGTTGGTTTGCATTTGATGACCCCTCTTCCAGCTGGGATTGTCGATCAATTTGTAATGGAGAGTGTGGAACAACTGAAAGCTCTCGTTGGCTCACATTTGATGACCCTTCTTCTAGCGAAGATTATTAATTTATTTGTAATGGAGAGTGAGGAGCAAATGAAAAACTTCTGTTGACTTGCATTTGATCACTCCTCTTGTAGGGAGAATTGATGATATCTTTCATTCAGCTATTTTGACTTATTGGGGAGTGAAAATGACCATAATCACATCTTGTTAACATAAATTTCACAGCTCCATCTATGGGGTTTAAGGAGACTCATCTGTTGGTTTTGCCTTACTCATTCAATCAGTTTACAAAACCTTAAGAATTTGAGCACTTAACTTATCAAGTTGGGTAAGCTTTAGTAAGATGACTATTGTCATTAGATGGACAAAACAGGGGCTTCTTCACTCCGACTTTTTCTACGGCTTGTTAAGTGAAGAAAGATGTCAGAAAATCGGTCATATTGTGGCTTGTTGAGTTTGAACTTCAAGACTTATTTGTGTTTTGGACTCGAGCTGTAAACGAACTTGTGCTTCTCTAACTTAACCTACTGAAGATCACAAGCTCAAAATTCTCTTGTTTAAATTTCTGAATTATGACAAGTCTGACTTTGAGATTGTCTTTTCTGTAATTTGCTTTAAGATTTGTTCTTTTTTGCACAAATTGATTTGGTACAACTTTGACACCAATATGATAAAAAAAAAACTCAATTGGGATCTCACATTCGACTTGATGTCAACCCAAATGATAGAATATAGAATTTATTTGGGGATCTCGACTTGAAGCTTGATGTCAGACAAAATAATATAAGAGAAACATATTTGGAATCTTAGCTCAACGCTCGATGTCAATCCAAATAAAATAAGTGACGCCCTGTATTGATAACAAGGGAAAGCCTGACGCTAATTAAATATCTTTGAAGATCTCGAGTTAAAGCTCGATGTCTCAAATGATAAATTATAAATAATATTTGGGGATCTCGATTTGAAACTTAATGTCAACAAAATGATAGAATAAAATATATTTGGAGATCTCGGCCCAGTGTTGGATGTCAATTCAAATGACATAAGTGGCCCTCTGTCTTGTTAATAAGGGAAAGTTTGATACTAGTTGAATATATTTGAGGCTCTCGGCTTGATGTCAACTCAAATAAATATATGCAGTTCCTTTGTCTTAACAACTAAGAAAAATCAGATGCTATCTTTGAGCATGATACAAAGTTTGGGCTAGCTTCTTTGGTTTAATGCTTCACACTTAATCATACTTGTTGAACAAGGGGAATTTCTTCAGTCAGATCTTAATGCTTGTATAGACCATTTGAAGAAAGTTACTCCTGACTGGCCTGATATCTCCACAAGCAAGAATCATCTCCTTTGACTTTTGTTTTCATCCTTAAATCAAGTGAGAAAATTTGATAAAACTAGATTACTTGACCTCGTTAAGATGGATATACTTATGATTTTATTCTCGTTAGACCGAGAAATGGGTGTTCTTCACTACAAGTTTGGCTTTGAGTGAAGAGAAATGCTAGCATCTCGGCCACATCTCGATTTGTTGAGTCTGGTCTCCATCTGAGTTCTGAACCTGAGCAATAAATAGTCTTAAGTTTTGTCGTCATCAGACTGACAAATGAGGCTCTTCACTACGGCCATGGCTTGTTGAGTGAAGAGAAAACCCAACAACTTGGCCACATCTCAATTTGTTGAGTCTGACTTCTGCCTGAGTCATAGACTTGAGCAATAAATATTCTTGTGTGTTGTTTTTGTTAGACTAACAAAGAGGGCTTTTCACTACAACATTGACTTATTGAGTGAAGAGAAAAGCAACTCAACCACATATCGGTTTGTTGAGTTTGGCCTCTGTTCGAGTCCTTGACTTGAGTAAAAGAGGATTTATGTATCTCCAACTTAACTGTTGAAGCTTGTAGATTTTCATAGATTTTCTCGCTTAATATTTTAAATCTTAGTAAGTTTTGAAGACGAACTTTTAACCTTTAGAATCATCTTATACATCTTTCTTGAAGCATACTCTTTTTGGATTGACAAATGGAAAACAACTTTATCATTGATAACTTGAATATTTTCTCAGGGATCTCAATGTAAAAAACGATGCTCCTTAGTTACTTAGAGATCATGAGCATGAGTATGATATCAACCCAAATGAAGGGAGATTTACATGCTAGTCATGATGTCAACTCTTCTGGTTAGATGATCTCAGCATTAAATTTGTTATTTACCCAAGAAATGATTAGCCTCATGTCTGATAAATAAGGGACTTCAGTGTTCAGGGCGCTCAGTAGTCTCAACTTTGGACATGATTTTAACTTGAATGCATAAGAATCTTCGAAATATTTTTCCTCCGTCCAACAAACTGGAACAACTTGAGTTTACAATGCATCTAGGGATCTCGTCTATGAGTGCAATTTCAACCGAAATGATAAGCTTTTGACTTGGAGCTTAGTACTACCATTAATAATTGTTTCAATACTTGGTAGATATATCTGGGGATTTCGACATTTAGCATGATGTCGACTCAAAT